GGGGGCGGGGGGGCCCCCGTGAGAACGCCAGCACGCCCTGCGCTGAAGGAGTCCAAGGCAGCTGCCGAGCTTGCAGAACGGGCTGCTGTGGGGCTCCTCCAGGCACTGGCCAGCACAGAGGGGAACGCGAGGAGCACGTCTGGCAGGGAGAGAAGGCTGAGAAGCAAGGGCAGGACATGGGCAGGACCTAGCACCAGGCATCTTCCCAGGATGGCCGAGAGCCAGATGGGCCCTGCCCGGGCCCCCGCCCCAGGAGTGGAAGAACCTGACTGCTCAGTGCAGCCAGGCCTCTCTGCAGCCAGCCCTTTCAGGGATGCAGCCCAGGGCACACGGGGGGCGACTCCCGGCTTGGGGAGACACTGGCACTAGCTGTGAGGGAGCCGGGAGGTTAAAGGTGGAGCGGAGCTGCAGGGACGCAGCCGGGGCGGCTGGCCTCTCGGCCACAGCGAACACAGGCATGGCACGCTGGGAATGGCAGGGCACCCTGGGGCAGCCCTGGCAGGGAAGGCGCCACCTGCTTCATCACCAGCTCCACGCCCTGCAGCGTAAAGGGCTCCTTGGAGCCAGGGAGGCAGCCCGCACCCATGTGCCCGAGCCCCTTCCGGCTCCCGGCAGAGCACCGCCACGGGGGCCGGCGGGGGCTGCTCTCAGCACCGGGCGATCAGCAGAACTAAGTGCTACACAAATCTGGTTTTCTCCGTAATCACAGGGCACAGGGAGGAAGGTTCCCTCCCTAACGGGGATCATTATGCAAAGTGCTAATCACATCTTCTAACGAAGTCCGGGTGCGATTAGCACGAGCTGCTTAATTGGCTGTGCAAATTGGAGGCACCTCGCCATTGAAGAGACGGGGCAGCTGCGTGCTCCGTGCTGCTCGGGCAGGGAGTGCCTGGGACAGAGGCAGGCAGAGCAGCGCAGCGCAGTGTAGCGGGTCCTCGCGGGTTCACGCTCCCCTCCTGTAATTGAATTGTGAGAGCCTGCCGGGGCGGCTCTGTGACCTTCCAGTCAATAACTCCTGTGCCATGCCGGGCCGGAGCCACACACAGTTATTCTAATCCCGCCTGTCCAGAGGCCCAGCTGCTCAAGCTTGAGATGACAGGCAGCTCCAGGGGAAGGAGCTTTCTGCCGTGGGCAGGGACTGCGAGCGATGCGGGATTGCCGGGGTCTGAGCCACTGAGCCTTGCAGTCCTAGGGGCCTAGCCCAGGCCCGGGGAGGTGCCAGGGGGCGGGAGGGACCAGCTGAGGCTGCTCTGCAGGGGCAGGGATGGGGGTGGTGGGCGGGGAAGCCATTTGGCCGCTGGCAGGGGCTGTGCCTGCTCTATCTATTGGCCAGGTGCCAGGCCCTTGCCAAGGAGGTGCCAGCTGTTGGGGCTGGTGCCATCTGCCAGGCAGGCTGGCCCTGGAGGGTGGCTCCAGCCCCCTGGATGGCCTGGTACAGTGCAGCTGAAACACGGCCAGCCTGTGGCACAGTCCGGCCTGTCTCTGCTCTCCTGATGCAATTCTCATTGCTCCACCATTCCCCACGCTGCCCTGAGGCCCTGCTGGGTTAGGAGCCTGACCTCTGACCCCTCACCACTCCCCCGGGGCTTTTCCTGCTAAATGCAGAAAAATGCACTTCAATCTCGCTCCAGAAAGGCCAATTAGAATTGATTAAAGCAGCCAGCTGGCGCACTAAATCCGCCATGCTGCTGCCCGCCCCCGCCGGCTGGGAGCGGACAGGGCAAGCTGCCTGGACCGAGCTCATTCACTGCCCTGTGAGCAGCACCAGGCCTGATACCGGATAAAGCAAGGAACCCCAGTGTCCGAAGGCCTAGAATTGCCAGGGGCACATCCCATCCCCGCCTCAGGCCTGCAGGGTTAAGGAGCTTAGCTGGCTAGCCAGGGGTTAAATACCCCCAGCCGCAGAGCCCTGCTCATTGCCCCTGGCTCCTAGCCGGCTCCTAGCCCTCTCTGCGTCTCTGCAGCTTTGCACAGACCCACTTCCCCAAGGGAACTGGACTGCCGCTGGGCCCCTGCATGGGCCCTGGTGCGACCCACAGCGGGCCCCTGCACTGGGCCCTGGTGCGACCCACAGCGGGCCCCTGCACTGGGCCCTGGTGCGACCCACAGCGGGCCCCTGCACTGGGCCCTGGGGCGGCCCACCGCGGG